TCTTCTTCAACACAGACTAGAGAGAGGCACGAGTGCACCCCCCCCTGCGCGCGTACGCGCCCTGGTGGTCTCTGGTCTGGCTCGACGACTACACGCTGAGGCCGAGAGGTTGGCAACTGCAAACCCCCTCTATTGGCTAAAGAACCCCCCGGCCTCTCGCAAGCACCAGACTAAGGCTGACACCGGCTCTGTGGTTCAAACTCGCATTTTCACGAGCTTGCTACCGCACATGATCTGGACGTCCCCCAGAACAGACAAGAAGCATGCTGCACACTACATACAAACATAGAGCGAGTGAAGACTCAGACTGAACGTCCCATGCACACAGAGCAAAAAGTGTTCACGCAACTGAGGCCCCGGCTTCACAACACAGCTGTATTACTAAAGCATCTCGAACAGCTCCCCAATCCTCTCCAACACTTAGCTCACTTCCCTTAGTTCAGGCTGCCGGGTTCCCCCTGCTCTCAAAAAGACTGGCCTGTACTCGTCGCCTACGGTGCTCGGCATCACTTTCATCCCCCTCGCTCAGTGGGGCTCGCTCAGGTGTGGCTTCCGGGTTTTCCCCCGTCACTTGCTGCAGCATATCAGCTTGCTCCCTCCGTTCGTATTCTTCAAGGGCTTGCAGGAGGTCGTCGTCGGTGGGCTCAAAGCGGTCCCCCTCCGGTGTGCTGGATAGCACTGTGGAAGACGGGATGCTCCCCGGCCATTGTTCTGCGTTGGTCGGCGGCACCCACGGCGTGCTCGGCGGCTGTTCCGGCGGCTGCGAGTTGTGGTCCCCCGCGTCAGTGGTCTGGGTGTCGACCTCTATGCTCGAGCCCTGAGCTTGCTGCCTCCACACCAAGATGGCGGCCAACAGTTGCCTCATCTGTTCTCCCCCCACTGGCACAAAGTGCATGACCGCTCTGGCATTGCGGAGGAGCAGCTCCATTTGCTCTTCCGGCCCCCCCGCCGGTCTGGCCGGTGGTTCCTGGGCCCCCTCGTCTAGCGCCAAAACGTTCGCCGGATGCACATAGTCGAGGATGCTTTCCTCTTCCAGCAGGTCTTCAGCATCTTGGAGCAATATGCCTATGACCTGCCCCCAGCCATCGGTGACCCAGTCCACGTCTCCGTTCGTGGTGTCCCCCATTGCTGTCTCCACTGCCGAGATGGCTTGCAGGATGCCGTGGCCTCCTTGTTCCACTTGGTGGCCGCCTTGCCCCCCGGTTGCCTGCTCGAACTGTACTTGTCCAAGGCGCAAGTCCCCCAGTGCCGTCTTGAGGTCCTCGTAGAGCTGGTGCTGGTTGACGTCGTTAGCCCCATCGTCGTCACACAGGTCTTGCAGTCTGACACGGGCGATGTACAGGTAGTTCAGGATCCGTCTCTTCTTGCAGAGTCCTGGTCCCCCCACTGTACCGTTGTCCTGCCAGCGGTCGTCCTCTGTACAAGCTCCCACCACTTGCATCGTCTCCTCCAGCAGCAGCGGGATGGTGTCCCCCATTGGGTAGCTTTTCAAGAGGGCCGCGAGCTGCCGCAGCCATCTGCGAACCATGGCGGCCGCGGGCGCCATGCGGTGCGGCCTGCCTCCTGCCGGGCGTGGCCTGGCGACTTCGTGGCTAGAGCTCGCCTCTGTCACGTCGAGCTGCGTGCGGGCTTGCATAAAGGCTGTGGCGTCCCCTTCTCCATCTGCTTCCCCCTCTGCACCAGGTTGCTGCGTAGGCTTTGGGGTAGGCGACGGTTGCGGCTGTGGCCCCCCACTGGGCGCGGCTCCAGGGCTTGGCGTCTCCTCGTTATCCCCCATGTCGAAGGTCGGGTTCCGTGCAGGCTGTCTGTAGCTTCTCGGCGACGGAATGAGCTGTTGCGCCATGGCTTCCCAAGCCGTGGGGGGATTGTTTGAGGCTCTGGGCAAGCGGCCATATATCGCACCAGTGCCCATAAAATTCCCCCAGTCGTAATAATATTGAAGTGCTAGACGTGGGGGAAGGCCCCCCAGCTGCCATGTGCGTGCCCCTGGTGGCATCTCCAACGTGTAGCTTGTACCTGGCGGGAGCTCCGTCGCTTCGGGGTCTGCAGTAGGAGGGCCCCCTGTGATGTGTAGCAGCCATTTCACAGGACGACCTCCCTGGAGCTTCCCCCAGGGGAAGAGTACAAACGAGGTGCTCGTCCCCATATAGCCCGAGGGTTCAATGCCCCCCATTTTTCCTCTGGAGCTTGACACGACAGTACCCCCTGGTAGGGGAACTGTACTCTGGTGCTCGTCTGGAACGCCACGGGAGCACCACTCCTGCCCACGCTCCATGCGGAAGGCTGCGCAGGTGCATTTCAGCGTCTGTGTGGATGGGGAGCTCAGGCGGGAAAGTCTCTGGCCTGTCAGCCCCCCCTGGCGAAATGAGCATAGTGCTGAAGATGCCGTCCCAATGCAAGGCCTCATCCTCTGTTTCTTCTGGCAGGTCCCCCTCCTGCGTTGCCGTCACCGGCTCTCCTCTGCGTCTGCGCGGCTCCCCTGGTGTGGGACCCCCTGCTGCGGCTGTTGTCGCTGCCTCCGCTGCTGCTCGGGTGTGCCCCTGCTGAAGCACTTGCTGGCTGTGTGCTGGTATGGGTGACCCCCTCGGCAAAGTATGGAGGTTCAGTATCGCTGAGAAGTTGACTGTCTGGGCCTGGCCAGGGACAGGGCCCCCGGCTGTAGCTGCCTGTTGGCTCTGCTGTTGCTCCCTCCCCCCACGAGGGGGGGGCCTGCGAGTTCCCCTCTGTGCCCCTTCCGCCAACACTCTGGCCCACTCGCTTTCTTCGTCTTCTTCGCACAGCCCCACGAGGTGAGCCACTTCTTTCCACGTCACATCGTCCCCCTTTTGCCAGCCACGCTGGTTGAAAGCTGCCTGAACCGCAGCCTTGAACCTCTTTCCTCTCATTCTCTGATCGCCATGTCCTTCGTGGTACTGGCGCTGCGTGGCTCTGCCCCCCCATGCCCCCCTGGCTGGTCGTCATCCAGCTCTGCTTCCGGCGGGACGTGGCAACCCCCTGTTTGTCCCCCCTGTGCCGCGGTGGTGGCTGTGGCTGCGGCTGGTTGGCCGGGCTGTGCTGTGGCCCCTTGTGTGTCTGCGGTTGCTGGCGGCTGCTGGGGCGGTGGCTTGTCCACTGGGGCCTCGGGGTGGCTGTTGAAGGTTTCGCCCGAGCTGCTGCTGTGTGTCGGTGCTGCTTGTGCTGTTTGCCTGCTTGGGTCCCAGGGAGGCTTGTAGTCTGCAGGGACGTCCCATGGGGGTGGGACATAGCTGGGGTCTGCGTGGGCGGCTGGAGATTGTTGGGCGTCTGCCCCGGGCGTGTGTGTCTGGAGCGCTCTCCCCCATCGGTTGCGGATGAGGTTGTCGAGCTGTGGCTGTTGCACCCGTGGCACCCCTGGCATGGCATTCGTCGGCGGCTGTGTTGGGGCTGCTTGCGCCGTGGCTTCGCTCGTCGTGCCTGTTGCTGCAGGTTGGTGCTGTTGCGGCAAGGTGTGCGTTGATCCCCGTTCTGCCGGCTGTGGCTGTGGCTGCAGTGGCTGGGTCGGCTGTTGCATCCCCTGCTGGAGCTGTGGCTGGTGTGGGGTCATGTGCCCCCCTTGCAGCGGCGGGATGTAGGTGAGGGTGTACCCCCAGTGGTTGGTTGCTGGTGGGACGGTGTAGACCAGGGGCTGTGTTGTTCCCATCCGTGCGGCATGGACGGTGGTTGGTCCCTGAGGTTCGCAGTCATCTTCGTCTTCGTGCCATGGGTCTGTAGCCGGGTCATAGACAGGTGCGTAGTAGCCCCAGGCTGCCTTGGGGTTGTAGCCGGGTTGCATCCCCCCATGGTGTTGTTGTTGCTGCGGGGTCGCCTGCTGCTGCATGTGGGCTGGCTGCTGTGGCGCTGTGGCTATGTGGTACTGCGGCTGCTGGTGCGGCACGGCCACGGGAGGGTACGCAGGTTGCTGCGGCGTTGTTCCTGTGCTGGTCTGTTCCGGCCTGGTGTTCGCAGGTTGGGCTTGCGTCTGCTCCGATGTGCGTGGTGCCCCCCCGCTGGTGGGGTGGTGCGAGGCCTGCTGCTGCAGTTGTGCTGTCGGCTGAGGCTGCGGGCCTGCGCTGCGGTGGCGGGCCGGAGTTCACCCCACCGTCATGAGGCAGTGTTGTTGCTAGCTGGGTCGCCTGCGCCGATTGTTGGTGGGCTGTTGCCCCCCCATGCTGGTGTCGCGGTAGCGGCGCCTGTGGTCCGGCCGGGTCACGGCATCTGGGTGTGTGCGGGGGGTCGCCGTGGGCGGCTGCTGCTCGCCTTTGTGCTTCCGCTGTTGTCGGGCATTCGCGGCTGCTGCCCCCGTCTTGATGTAATGGTGCTTCGGGCTGCTGCTGCGTCATCGGCGGCTGTTGCTCCCCTTGTGTCGTGGCTTGAGCTTCTGCCTGCAGCGTCTGGGCGTGGCCCGGAGCCTCCATCATCGGTGTTGGCTGCTGTTCTGACGACGCCGCTGGGTGGTGCCCCCGCAGATTGAGCACCGGCTGCTGCTGCTGCTGCTGCTGGCCCCTGCGGTACGTGTGTGTCCAGGGGTCGTCGTTAGGGTTCGGGCTCGGTGCTTCGCCCCCTTGGCCGGTGGGCTTACGTGTGCCTGCCTGTCCGTAGCGCAGGGCCACCACCAAGGCTAGCATCCGGAGCGTCATGCCCCCCATTCGTGCTGACGGCTCGTTAAGGCTACTCTTGAGCACTTGTTGGCACTGCAAAGTCGCATCACTGCATCCAGTCGGCAAACGGCTCAACTGACATGAAGGCTGCAGAGGTAACATGTCACGCTAGACTCTCAACTGTCGTGTCTCATCCGCTGGCGCTGTCTGTCTCCCCCCTGTTGTGTTGTTTGGTGTTAGGTTCGTGATGCTGCTCTGTCTTCCCGTAGCCCAAGGCACGTCAAACGTGGACACAAACTGCTCCCCCATCCGGCTCCACTCGGAAATGTCGCGCGCTGCGTGCACCCAGTCCCCCCCTGCCACCGCCACCACTTGCCGCTCTGGGTCAGCCAGTGCGTTGTACTTGACGTGCGTGTGTCGCTGCCTCCGTGGTTTGAGCTTTTCCTGTTCCCACCAATGCAGGTCCTTCCAGCGGAGCATGGGCCGGCCCCCCAACTGTGCGCGTGCCATGTGTCCGTACAGGTCCCATGTGTGACCCAACTGGAATGTGCTCCAACGCAACACTTTTGCTTGCTGTAGTGCCACCCTCGCCCCCCTCATGGTGCGAATGTGCCACGCCTCCCACTGCTCACCCGGGCGTCTGGGGGGGTGCATCATGCGGCGGATCTGCAGTAGCTGGGTTGTGTTCATGGCGCGGAGGATGCCATCTGAGATGGGCCAGGACTGCCCCCCCCACAGGGCCGACCCCCTCACCAGGGTTTGGTGTAGCACTATGCGCCCTTTCAGGGGCGTGGGGGCGCAAAGCAGTGCCGCATGTTTGTGGAACGCTTTCCGAGCTCTGTGGTTCATCTCGGATATGATGGCCGCCACCCCTTCTCCAAAGGTGAGGGGGGACCCCAAGGTGGTGATGACTTCACCAAACGGTTTGCACCCCACAGTTTCCCCCCCTATGCGGAACGTTCCCCCCCCATAGCGTTGGCTGAAGATCACCGCCGTCTTCCCCGGGTTGATAAGGAGCCCATGCCTCTCTCTCTCTCTCTCTCTCTCTCTCTCTCGCTCGCTCTCTCTCTCTCTCTCTATTTTGCTCCCCCTCTCGCTCTTGCTTGCTTGCCGGGCGTTTGGGGCCGAGGGTTGCCCCCGAACCCCTGCGCGCTAGCGGTACGCCTCTGTCGTGTCTGGTCTGTCGGTATGAAACATGCTGGGGATCGGCAGTGTGGGGTCCAGGTTTACTCCCCTCTCATGCCCATGTCATGTCCCCTCTCTCTCTCTCTCCCTCTCCACTCTCCTCCCTCCTCCCCCCCTCCCCTCCCCATCCCACGCCACTCCACTCCACGACGTCACGGCACGTCCCTTCACACTTCACTGGAATCTTGCAAGGAACAACATGCAGCATGCATGCCATGTGCAAGCCTGGAGCCCTTGCAAACATCTCGGCTCTCGCTGCGGCGCTGCGCTCTCTTCTCTCAAAAGCAAAGCCATGCATCGTGAACGCGTCAGCGAGACCGACTTCGGCGGGCCTCGGGCTTGGGAAGCTTTTGCTGAGCCTCGCCACTGCCGCCACTTGGGTTTGGACCTCCTCCTTCTGCGGCTGCTCGGGCTTGGAGATCTTCGAGCTCCCCTCGCAGCTCCCCTGCGGGGCGTGCGGCGCCAGAGCCCTCTCGAGTTCGGGTCTGAGGCCGCCTCGCCTTCCGGCTCTCGCGGCTTTCACTTTCAGAATCTTCCACCTCCTCAAAAAGAGCGAGCGCATGCCCACTCTCAGCCGTGAGAATGCTCGGAGGAAGTGCCCCCCCCCACCAAGACGCCCGTGGCGGCGCTGCCCGTGCTGGAGGCCGCCTCGGGAGCCTCGCGGGAGGGCCGACAAGTGAGGCGGAGATAGGCGGAGCAGCAGACAGTCTCTCTATGCTCGCTCGCGCGGGTCCTCTTCGCGCTGCCTCTTCAGCATCCTGACGATCCAGGGAGAATGCTTCAGCCAAAGTCTCCGGTGCTTGGCCCTGGGGCCCCCGCTGCAAGCGGTTCTTCACCAGCAAGGTCCGCACACTGCGCATCCGTGACGTCATCGCGGCCCCGCGACTGGTCTCCTCGTGAGAAGTCGAGAAAACTGCGATTTTGGAGTGCGCCTGCGTGGCCTCGGGCTGGGCCCGGGCCGCTGGGCGCGGGCTGGACGGACTCCTCGAGAGGCAAAAAAGGAAAAAAGACGGCGGGGCCCCGGTCGCCAAGCCCCGGGCCTCTCCGCCGCCTCCGAAAGAGCAAACGTAGGTCTTCGCTCTGTCGCTTTTCATTTTTTTGGGGGGCGGGTCGGCCTGGCCTTGGCTAGCTGCCGCTGCAGCTCCTGGCGCTTGGCCTGCACCAGCCTCTCGTCATCTGTGCCATAGGCGCGCTTGGTTGCAGTCCTATGTAGGCGGTGCCGTGCCATCCCTGCCTGGCCAGGGACTCATGGGCCTCAGCTCAAAGCAGGAGGAGGAGGAGGAGAAATCATATTGTTGCATGGTCTGGAGCATGAACCAGCCATGTATCGACTTCCGTTTGCATTTTTCTAGGTTGAGTTTTTCCCTGCACTTTGAGCATGCTCGTTCGGGCCGCCAAAAGTCCTGGCCCATGACTCACAGAGGATTTACGAGCGCGTGCTAACCACCTCATGCCTGTGTGCATACGCCGTCCGTGTGCAGCCCAGCGTAGTCGCATGCGCATGTGCGCACCCGCGGCGCGTGCGCTCCGAAGATCGGCATGCACACAGACACGGGCTGAAGACTGGCCCACGTTGCAGGAGAAGTCCCGGCTGGCTTCAATTTTGTAGCGCAGAGCCCCGCGCCTCAGGGAGTTGCCCGGTCTCCGTGTCCTGATGGGTTGGGCGCATGCAAAAAATTGGGACCAAAATGGACTCCAGCGACCAGAGCGACCAGGCCTCAGATCGAGAAGAGACCTGATGTGCGGCGCGAGGCAAGGCAAGCCACGGCCATGCTAGCCATGGCATTTCCCGGGTGACTTTTTGGGCCACTTTGCCGAGCGCTTCTGAAGGCGCTCTCTTTTCCGGCGACCTGTTCCGGAAGCCGGAAGCTACTTCCAATCCTCACACAGGCAATCCACGGAGGAGAGCACCTGAGATGCTTAAAGCCATGCCCTCCCTCAGTTCCCCGTCCAAAGACCCTAGGTCGCGAGCCACCCCGGAACGCAAACAACGAAGTGGCCTGTCGCTCTGTTCAACCGTCTCAGAGCATCTGTGAAGACCTTGCAGTGCAGCTGCGCCTCTTCTCCAGGGGCGATCCCCTCTCCATAAACTCCTGTCACAACTAACAAATTAATTCTCACTTTTGCATATCCCCGCATTTCTCATGATACAACTTCTCCTCCACGGGCTCAGCCGCTTGTTTGCGACCGGCGTCCTGCGAAGGCCTCCAACTGTGCAAGTCGCGGCGTTTCGTTTCTGCAACAAAATGGGCTCCCCTTTTCTTTCTGGCCAGGAGCTTCCAGACCTACCCTGGGTGGTCCGGACGAAAAGCGAGGTAAGGCGGCTGCATGAAACATATACATCCATCCAGGCATGCATATACGTATGTCATTATGTGTCCTTGCCAAAGCATTGAGATGCTCCTACCCGGGTTCATCGTTATGCTTCAGCAGCTGCTCGCGGAGCCGTGGGCGGAAATGGCGTGGGCGCACCGAGGCTTTGAGCGCAGCCCAAAAAAAAGGTCTAAAACACGTGCGGCACTTGCCCTGAATTCTGCCGCGCCGGGAGGCCAGAAGGAGTTTCTACTCGCTTAGATGTCCGACCGTCCCTGATGCGGCAATCATGTGGACGTTGCGAAGTCCTCACATCGTGATCACAGCATTCAAGGATGTGCAACAACATCGTTCCCACACTGGCGCACATCCGAGATGGTACTTACTGTCTTTGACAAAACGAGCGATCCCAAGATGCACGTGCACGGCGCTTCCTTATCCCAACCTGTCTTTGGATCCTGCTGAGGCTCGCTGCACATCTGACGCTGCGTGCTGCCGCGCACCACCCCTGCCTTGTAAGGAATCTGCGGTGGCATGTCTTCCTTGTTCGGAGAAAAATTCGCAATGTCCTGGCAAAGAAGTCATCCGAGGAACTCAGGACCGGGTTCTACAATGACACGTCCTTCTTGCCCTTCACCGTCGGAATGTGCGGCGCGGTCATCATGAAGTTGGAGCAATCCTCCCAGTTAAAGCCATTGAACCATGCCTGGCAAAAGCGAGACAAACGACCATCAGAAAAAAACAAGCATACACAGGTTGTCGGAGGCCCCATGAATCAACGTTCGCCGCAATGCGATTGTTTTTTTGCAAGATCTCGTGGAATGCCGTACGAAGCATCTACGAATCCACATCTCCGGGGATTAACCGATTTTGGAGCTCAGGTGGAGGGTCCTGCGTGCGCCTTCGTTGCTTCATGCCTGGTGAGCTAAAGACAGCAGCATCGTCGTGGGGCTAAGAAAGGCCAAAAGAGAACGGACATGGACGCCACATCTTGGAGCATCCAATTTGTGCTTCTTCTCACGATGCCTAGCTTACGGCCAACGTTATAAGCCCATGCTCGCGAAGCCGGCGGTACGGGCAGGGGCACATCCTGCGAAGAGAACTGCCCGTGGTCTACGGCCTGCGTCTTGATATTCTGTGTGCCTCCTTTCTTCATCGGTAATCGCTGCCTTTGAGCTTCTTCGGAAAAACGACCTTGTTGATCCCTTTCTGGACCTGCAAGAACAAAACAGAAAGAGAGAGAGGGAGAGAGAGAGAGAGAGAGAGAGAGAGAGAGCGAGACAGACAGAGAGAGATAGCGAGAGAGGGAGAAGGAGCGAGCGAGCGATCGAGAGAGAGAGAGAGAG